GGTACTTCTCCTCTTGTTTAAAGCTAATTCTAACTTATATTCTGCTACTCACCTTCCGTCTACCTCCTCAGGAAAGTTCAACTATTAATTACCTTTCCTTTATAACTTCCAATCTCTTTCCACAAGACTCTTCTCATTGGTAGGTAATTAAGCATCATTAACAATAATAACAATTTAAGAGGTGATATTTGAAACACAGGTAGATAAACGATCTTGTCAAGAGAAGGAGCACTGTCTGTGTAACAGAAGAGGGTCACTTAGTAAGAGTTGTTATGTACCATTGAGTCACCTGCAACTCATAGGGACTCTACGTATACTAGCTCTGAACACTGCCCTATCCTGAGCCAATCTATATCCAACATTCCTACTCCATTATCCCAGTTACTATGTCAATTCATCTCATCCAGGGTTTCTCCTGACAACATGCCCACAGTCTCTGAGACAGAGCTTCAAATTCTTTGCCTCCAAGGAGAAACGTGGTTTCACCCTCTCTTGGGCAGACCTGTTCTCTGGGAGTCTGTGGTATGTTCAATATTCTTCTCCAGCACCACAACTCAAAGGCATCAATTCTTCTTCTGTTATCCTTACTCATTGTCCAACTCTTTGAGGCACAACAAGTAATTGTGAAAACCATGGCCCAGATCAGGCGCACTTTAGTCTCCAGAGTTGCTTTTCAGCACTCTGGAGAGATCCCTAATAGCAGATTTTCCTAATGCAATTTGTCTGTTGATTTCCTAAATTCTGATGCCAAACTACATGGTACTGTTGAATAGGAACCTAATCATTGACTCATACTGACCAGCACATGGAGGGTTTTCAGAGGCTATAAACCGTACAGGAAGAGCAAGCTAGTGGATTCAAATCGTATGCCTCTGGGTTGGCAGCACAACTGAGCCACCAATGCTCCCTGGTAATAGAGAACGAAGGATAAAATTTCATCTGGTGCTCTGGGAGGGTTCCTAACTTTTACCAGTAATAAAAAAGGAATGGGTACATTCTGAAGGTTTGGGAAAGAAGTATAAGAAACCATCTTAAATTTACTTTATTTCAATGTTCTTTTTAAAAATTCATGAAAGTTCCTTTATTATTACTATTATAATATTGTGCAGTAAGTTAAAATTAAGAAAGGGGAAAATTAACAAAATACTCACAAAACAGTCTCAGCCAGCCTTTACTCTGCTGAATAATTTTCATGAGTATGTTTTAAGTTTATGATGAGTAAAAGTCCAAATTTTACCTATATGCCATTTTTTAACTAGGAGGTATTTAAAACAAACTATAATTATTCTATAAGGCTTTAATTTTTTGTTTCCTACATGATCAGCACTCTGAAACCTTTCCTCAACCATCAAAAGTTTTAGGAGTATCTGTTAAGTTTTACCACAAATCCTGGACAAACTCCTGCCTTTCTGTTTTTGTATTACTAAGCTTAATCAGGCATACTGTAGCTGTCCAATGCACGAAGTACTCATATGATACAATCTTAGCCTTTTGCAACCAAAAATGTAAAGGACTCATGAGTCCTGAAAGGCAAATGGCATCATTTACATTCTAATTGCATGCTACCTGGGTTTTACAGAACAGGAAAGGGGGGAATATATATATATTTGAGATTGATGTGCCAAATGCAAGAATGGGTTATCCATAGCAAACAGTGTTTGGTGGAAGTTCTCGATTAAAACAAGCTTAGAAGCAGGAGTGGCATCCACTTCCGAAATAGCTTGCTTCTGGAAACCCTATGAACCTGGAGAAAGGATGAAAATTATACCAGTGTTCAGGTCTTTTGTTCATAGGGTCACTATGAGTTGCCTACAACTTGATGGTACTTAACAACAACAACATATATAGTATCATGTAAATACATATTTTTACCACAAGCAACCTCGAAAATAAATGTCTAAAGTGCTGTATCACTGTAAGAAGAGCTCAAACACTGCCTGATTTAAATGATAGTCTAGTTTTCCCTACGCTGCTTCTACTTGATAAATTAGTCAATAAATACCAAGTCAAATATTCATGGAAGCACATTTTCATTGTTATTGACAGACATATAATTAACTCTGAGAGTAAAAGAAACAAGAAATCAATTTATGATTACTTCTTCAGTTCTTTCCATTAGTCATTTACATTTTAATTGTGGTTCCACTTTTTAAATCTTTATCCACACATATACATATCATTTTTACTATAATTATCTCAATTACAAATTATCATTTTATAAAATGTGAACCTCATATGTTAATTTTATTAGTAAAATACAATTGTATTATTACTACCACACATGCATATTAGCTGATTAAAAAGCAATTGCACATTTACAAGCCTATAGTAATTAGTAATTTCAGCAAATGTTTCTAAACAACAGTAGGGATTTTCTTTGTCTAATATAAGCACAAACACTGGAATCAACTTTTTTTTTTAATGTGTCTGTAGATATCAACAAATTACGCTTCCATTTTCAGGAAAACAGAAGACTATACAGAAACTATTACAAAGACTAAAGCTTTCCTTTCTCAACATGGTTATCTGTCAGGTCAATATCATCACTGTTCTGGGGGAAATTACATTTTGTACAAAAACTTACATAAGTGGCCTTTTCAAAATATTGCCTAAAACTAGACTCAAAAGCTTCAGATATGTTATGCGGATTTCATAAAGCTGGAAAAATCTGTTTTGATAATTTGTGCTGTCATTACTCAAACTGTACTTTCATTACAGCTCTTTTAATCATTGGCACATGACACACCATGGAAAAGTCATTTACCTGCTCTGCTTTTCAGTTTTCTCACCTGTAGGGGTGAGGGTGGGACGGTGGTGATGGTGGTGCTTCTTCATAGGAACATAGTTCAGGGCTAGCTATGCATTACCGAGTTCTGCATGTCTAGTATTCCGCCTGGTACTTTTCTTTTTCTAGCTAACAATTTCTGAAAACAACATAATTTCTTTTAAAGAAGAAGTCAGCCTGCAACATGAATCCTTAAAGCTTTGCCCATCCCACCAGTTTTCAGATGCTTGGTAATGAAAAGTGCTTATGCCAGTCAAAGACCAAGCACTGAATGCTAGTTTCAACTTCTACTTTGAAAGACAGCGCTGTCCGTTTGGGTACTTGCTTATTTGTTCAAAACATGGATCTCTTACGTGGTCTCTTAACCATGTAAACACTGTGTCCAATAAAAATGAAAATAATTTTTGGCATTTTGCTAACAAAATAGGCATTGTTGTTGTTGTTGTTGTTGTGTGCTGTCGAGTTGCTTGCAACTCATAGCAATCCTGTGTACAACAGCCCTAAACTCTGCTCTGTCCTATGCCAATCGCACTGTCTTCTGATACACCCATCCCGATTACCCCAGTCACTGAATCAATCCACCTCATAGAGGGCCTTCCCCTTCTGCACCGTCCCTCCACCCTCCCAAGCATGATGTCCCTCTCCAAGGACCGGTCCCTCCTTACATGTCCAAAGTATGTTAGACGGAGCCTCAGAATCCTTGCTTCCGAGAAGCCACCCAGTTTAACCCTCTTCAAGATGAATCTGTTTGTTTTTCTAGCAGTGCATGGTACCCTCAATACTCTTCTCCAACACCACAGCTCAAAGGCATCAATTCTCCTTCTATCTCCCCTCGTCATTGTACAACTCTCTGATGCATAACAAGTGATTGCAAAGACCATGGCCTGTATCAGATGCACCTTAGTCTCCAGAGAGACACCATTGCTCTTCAGTACTTTGGAGAGGTTCCTAACATCAGACTTGCCCATGGCAATATGTCTTTTAATTTCCTGGCTACTGCTGCCAAGAGTGTTGACTGTGGAACCAAGCAAACTAAAGCTGTGAACAATCTCAATCTCTTCACCATCCATCCTGATGCTGCCAATTGGTCCAGTGGTGAGAATCACTGGGCATACAGTATGTATTTTCATTTATTTGTAAAGTAAAACATCTATGGCAGGGTGTCATACATTAGGAAGACTTAGGAGGAAAGATCAGACACTCATCCAGTAGAGAAGGTTATTTTATTCAAAGCAAAGGGGAAATTCTTCTCAGTGGTTATGTTAAAATAGACATATTTATTTTAAGCAGACAAACATTCCCGGACTTTCCACTGCTTACTTCATCATCAGGTGTTAAGAATCTATTTGTGAAAAAAAAAAAAGGAATCTATTTGTGTTCCCTGTCTGTGCCCACTTGAAACCACACTTTCACTGAGACACACTTGGTGGATGCCCTTTGCTCCTTAACATCGAGCTTGCATCTTCCTTATCAGAGCAGGGGAAGATCTTCCTAAAAACTGCTTTTATCACTTTTCCCTGATCAAAGGTTTTTCTAATCCCAGATACCAACCTGCTTTGAAGAGCTTTCCCAAAATACCTTGGGCTCTTCTGACAGAACCCTCCACTTACTCGCAAAGCTTTTCTCCCCATACTATCTTTCCTTAATTCTACTCACCCTTCAAAATTTCCTTAAAGAAGTCACTAGGTTTATTTCCTCCCAGTTCAGAGAACACTTTACAAATGCAACAGAAAAGTAAGACATGCTAGTAGAAAAAAATATTCTTTTGAGATAAAAGGCATGCCCCAAATGTGATAGAGAAAAGAAAAACAAGAGGCAAAAACTCACTTGAAAGTTCATCAACACAGCATGCTTCTTAAATCATTATTAAAAATGTATTCTATATACCAACTGTTTACTGAACAATTATTTTTCCAAAGGCATTATGCTTTTTAAAAACAAGAAAGAAACCTTATGTTCTTTAAAATAGACAATGAATTCTTCTCTAATTTACTTATAACTTAGACTGGTCTTTTTTGGGGGGACAAGTTCACATGAGAACTGAAGGTGTCACAGGATTCAGACTTAAACACTGCCAGACACTATGGAACCACACTTATCAGTAGGGAAAAAATGGGGAACAATTCATTTGAGGGACAACTAGTTAATGGGCACAATACTCTCCCAAGGTCAAGTTAAACTAGGTGCTAATCAGCATGCCTTCCAGAGTCAATACCTTAGATTCCAACTTGATTTTCTCTTCATTCAGCTTCTCGGTTGCTTTCTGAATATTTTCCCGACATTGGATTGTTTCAGACCTTACTGTAATAAAAACAAAATTGTAACTATATCACACTTCCATATATTCTTTTTTAATTTTTTTTTTTTTTAAGTAGCATTTGGTAAGGCTTTTCTCAGTGTTCTGTCAAGGTGGGGAACAAACTCAGCTGCTCTGACCACAACTTAGGGGATCTCTTGCTGCCCCAACACCCAGTGGACGAGGCAGCACCCCACCTTCCCGCATGAGGCGGCGGCTCTCCTCAGCCTGCTGCTCCGTGAAGATGATGTGCTGAAACAAAGACTCCAGGCTCATCTCGGGCACAGCTCCTGTGAATCCTCGGGTCGCCTTAAATATTTTATAACAGAGACTGAGGATGCTGGAAAAGACAATAAACAAGAAGGATTGTTCTAGAACTACTCCCAGGCCTCCACCTCCCCGTCTTCTTGGCCACAGCCAGGCAGCGCTGACAGGATGGGGTCGGCCAGGGTGACTGGCTGCAGGTGGGGGCCGTGACTCCCGGGGCCCAGCCCAGTCACCCTCGAGCCTTCAAGGCCATGCTCAATGCGTCCCCCATGGAATGTACTGACCTGGGGCTCCGTCCCCCAGATCCTATGTCCAGCCTACATGCCAGGCCCCCGTCCCCCAGATCCTCCGTCCCCCAGATCCTGTGTCCACCTACAGACCCAGGGCCCCGTCCCCCAGATCCTATGTCCACCTACAGACCCAGGGCCCCGTCCCCCAGATCCT